CGGCCCGTGATGCGCCGCCCGTGAGGAATCAATGGCAAGGCTGACCGGCGGCAGCCTTGGCATTGATTCCCTGCGGGAACCGAGGCCGTTGGGGGAAGACGAGGCGCCGTGTCGCTGACGCGGCGGGTCCGCGGCTGTTTCGCGCCAAAACAGTTCGCCCCGGCGCCCCCGGGCGCCCCCCAGCGCGCCGGGTTCGGCCTGGGTCCGCCGGCGCTATTTTCGGCCCAGGGCGGCGAAAATCGGGCTCCTGGGGCGCGACTAGGCTGTTTTTTTGGCGCCGGCGCGAAAAATCACCTGGGGAGGCCTTCCTGGGGGCGCGGCTGGAGATGCCCTTAGGCCCCTTAAGCCTACTTCTGACACAGGTCAATATACACCGGTATTGCCAGTCAGCACGAGGTCTGTTGGGTCAGTCCATTAGGAACGACCGCTCGCATGCTCGCTCACTCAATCATTGCTACTCCCTCCTTCCATCTATATAGGGCCTAATGCGTTTTTCGAGGCTAACTTTGATCAAATATTAGAGCAATAATATATGACATGCAATTTATAAAAAGCACACCGTTAAATTCGTGTGTGAAAGGAGCTTTCAATGATATAATTTTTACATCGTGCATGTCATGTACTATTAATATTGTCAATAGTCAAAGGCGATTTTAAAAACCGCATTAGGCCACATATAAATGGAAGGAGGGAGTAGCTTGCTTGTCGGTTTCCCAAAAAAACTCGTCGGCCATTGCCACTTTACCTTTGACCATTGAATATCCTACCCGTTGACCATTGACTTTTCAAAATTATTAAAAACTTGCGAGTATAGAAAAAAGTTTGGGAATTTGAAACAAAATTGCAAAATACAAAAAAAATGCGAATGGAAAATGGTTCACGAATTTGAAAAAAATGTTGCCCGATACAAAAGAATTCAGGAATTTCAAAAACTTTGCAAATACCAAAAAGTTCATGAATCTGAGAAAAAATTCACGAACAGAAAAAAAGGTTATAGTATTTTCGAAAAAAAATCCAATTTTTTTTCATGAATTTATAAAAAATCACTAATACGAAGAAGTTCACGGAGTTGAAAAATAATTCATGAATTTAGAAAAGTTCATGAATTTGAAAAAAAAAACAAAATTAAGAAACAGAAAAGAAGAAAAAAAAACAAAAACCGATTGAAAACCAGAAAAAGGAAATCCGGTTGTGAAGCTCCCCAAAGTTGGGAGGGCTCCTAAAAACGAGCCTCGAATGACTCTTAGATGGGCCGGCCCATTACGAATGCTGAGAAGGCAAGGGATGGTGAGCGGCAGGAGCGATTAACCATGCATTTGACGCCTTAATCACCAAATAGGGTTCGCGAGAAATCCGTCATCAATTAATAGGTTTTTTTTGTAGTGGAATGAAAGAGGCCCATGATCATAGGCGGAGCCCATAGGGGTACTGGGTACGAATCTACACCCATTTTTTGGGGAGACCTTGAATATCTACACCCATATTTTATCTACCACCGTGACAGTTATCACCACTTGAGTTTGGTATATTGTATGTAGTATCTATTAAATTGGAGAATATATACACGTACTATGTAGTATATAAGAATGTTTAGGTAGTATATACGGATTGACTATTCGTCACTTTGAGTGAGGAATAGTTATTCTTCACCCCCCTCCATTTTACCATCAATGCACCGTAATTTTACGTTTCGTAAGTTTTATCTTATTTCCGACGTAAAAAGAGACCGTAAGAAAATATATAACCGTCATAAAAAATATTTTATGTTATGTAAAATTACAAACGTAAAAACATAGTGTAAAATATACATAAACTATAAATTTTCTTGTCTTATGACCTATATTTTTATATTGTTATGCCAAATTTTACGTAATGAATCAATAGAAATGTAATTATTTAAATTCTAAACATAATTTAATTATAAAGTGATCGTAAGATTACCTCGGGTGAAAAATAACTTATTCTGCACCCTGGGTGATAAATAGTATCACTATATATTACTTCTTAGGTAGCATGTATCGTATTTTAAGTGTGCTTCTTTTCACATACAAATATGTACATATTTCACAAATATAATAAAAACTATGAGCCAACTTGCAAACTTCATATAACTCACTTTGAATTAACTTATATATAGTATATTAACATATTTAAGATGTTAAAGTATTATATATAGTGCCACATGGTAATATATGAGACATGTGGGGTGACTACTCCTAGGTGATAAGATGTATTTTTCCTATATATATATATATATATATATATATATATATATATATATATATATATATATACCTAATAATAAAGAAACTATTGCTTCTTGCGGTACGTCACCGATATTGACCCTAAAGTTGCAAAATACTATCCACCGATGTTATCTATAAGTGATAAAAAAAAGTTTCACACAGGGAAATCCAACCAGGCCGGCCCATGCAGTACTCACCTCCTATACTGCGATTTACGCGCTGGGAGAAAATGCAGCGCGCCAGTTTAGGCTGGCCCATGTCCTGGCGGCATGTTTTTTTCGTTTACCTGTTTCGTCCTTTTTTTTACTTTAGATAATTTGAGATTTCAAAAATGTTTTGCAAATTAAAAAAATGTGAATTTTGAAATAAAATATTTAATAATTCATAGATGATTGTGGGCTCGGAAAATGTCCGTGGTTTTTAAGAAATGTTCACATATTCAAAAAAAGTTCACAGATTTGAAAACAAATGTTCAGGAAACTAAAAAAATGATTTTTTTAAGTTCATGTATTAAAAAAAGTTAATCAAAACGAAAAAAATCACTAATACAAAAAATGTTCATGAATAGAAAAATATCCTCGGAATTCAAAAACTGTTTGTGACTTACAAAATAGTTTATTGATTCATAAAATATTGGCTGATTAAAAAAATGATCATGCATTTGAAAAATTGTTTGTTAAAGCAAAAAAATGTTCGTAAATTTCAAAAAGTGTTCAATTAAATTTTCAAAAAAAATGATTCTAGAAATACTTATCTATTCAAGAAAAATGTTTTAAAAATGATCACAATTTTTAAAATATTTTTGCAAATAGTATAAAACGTTCATGAATTCAAAAAATGTTCATGATTTCAGAAAATATTCAAAATATGTAAAAATGTTCAAGAATTTAAAAAATGTTTACAATTTCAGATATGTTCAGTGATTTTCAAAAATTGTTCACGATATCACAAAAATGAGAGTGATAGTGTATCTTGGTGATGCAACAAAATATGATCATGACCATTGGAGATTATGATATTTTTTATCTCTCGTTGCAACGCACGGCCCGTTATAGAATAATAATAATGTACATCGTATAAATTAAAGACTGTGGTTCTTAGGTGACGTCATGCACCCGTTGGTTGGATGCTGGTTGTGTCATTGCGTGTAGTAATCATTTATCGTTTGGGTTTCATGGAGGGGTTACATGGAAGGGATTGGTCTATCAGACAGCCTAACGTGACGATCAAAAGATAAAGTAGACATAGCTTTAACCATGCTATGAGCTTCAACATTCATTCACGGTTCTCGTGAATAATTTTAGCCTCCACATTATCTTGCATCTTTATATTTAGGGTCGTGCTACGTGTTAGCCGACTGGTCCTTTAAAAAGAGGTCAGCCGGGCCACGAACCGTTGAATTCAATACACAATAGCAGTTAGATTCAGCCGATGAGGTTTGCAACAAAGATTATGTTGCAGAAACTTATGCAACAAAGATAATGTTGCGGAAACTTATGCAACAGAGTTAGGCCTCCTTTGGTTTGTAGGAATTTCATAGGATTTCTATAGGATAGAATTTGCAAAGGAAAATTTTCTTTGAAGCCCTTTGGTTTGTAGGAATGGTTTCCTATTCCTATGTAGGATAGGAATCAATCCTTTACATTTTGAAGAAAAAAAATATTAGCTAAGACTCAATAGAAAAATTCCTATCCTATGCATCAAATGACATCTCTTTCTCTATCTTATGATTTTCCTATTCCTATAACATTTCTAGGCCTCCTTTGGTTTGAAGGAATTTTGTAGGATTTTCATAGGATAGGGTTTCTATAGGAAAAATTCCTTCAAAGCTCTTTGGTTTGTAGGAATGAAATCCTATTCCTATGGAGGAATTCTTCCTATCCTCCACATTTCATAGGAAAATAAACATTAGACTAGACTCAATGGAAAAAATCCTATGGTGTGAATCAAAGGGCATCTCATTTTCTATTCCTATGCATAGGATTTGAGATGCATGCCATCTCATTTCCTATGACTTTCCTATTCCTATGATTTTACAATCCTATGAACCAAAGGAGGCCTACCCTATGAACCAAAGGAGACCTTAATGTTGCAGAAACCTTTGCGACCGAGGTGAGGCAATGTTGTAGAATTATTATTTTTGTCTTCACCTCGTAACATAGGTGATATTGCGAAAGAAAAGTTTCGCAGCATGGATGATGTTGCCTTTTTTTTTGTTGCATTGAATAGAGTTGGCCAGGGGTGAAGTGGTGGTGGTTGTCGGTGGTCGAAGGGGCCGGCGGCCATGGATGGGGCTGGAGCTCGGGGCCAAACCGAGGAGGAGGCGCAGGGCCTGTGAACAAGGGAGCAAGAGCTGACACGGTGAGTGAGGCGCAACCTCATCCCGACCTCATCTGCAACCTCATCCCGTCGCCCCTGTAGCCTTATCCATCCGTCTCGAGAGAAGATTGGGGAGGGAAAGGAAACCATTAGTCTGGTTCAGTTGTCACCTTGTGCAGCCAGCCACATTTTTCGCCTTTCTCTTATCTTTGCATCGTGTATGATTGATGATGTGGATGTCGTCCTTCCTTGTCCGATCCAGGGCCCAAATCTAGCCACAGAGAGAGACCCCAACGACGACGCTACGTTGTTACCCCGTGGCCGGCGAGACCCCGAGAATTACATAAAGGCAGCCCAAGCCCGCAGAGCAGAGGCACCCAGCTCCTCCCCTGCTCCCGTCGTCCGCCAAAGAAGCAAGCAGCAGAGCAGAGGGAGATGGCGGCACCTCGCCCGCATCCGCTGCTGCTCCTGCTCCTCGTCGCGCTGCTGGCCGCCTCCGCACCCCGCCGCGCCGACGGCTGGGGCAAGGAGGGCCACATCATGGTCTGCAAGATCGCCGAGAAGTACCTGTCGGAGGAGGCGGCGGCGGCGGTGCAGGAGCTGCTGCCGGAGTCGGCCGGCGGAGAGCTGTCGACGATGTGCCCGTGGGCAGACACCATGCGCTTCCGGTACCACTGGGCCAGCCCGCTCCACTACGCCAACACGCCCAACGTCTGCAACTTCAAGTCCTCACGTCAGTTCTCTTCTCCCTCGCCTCTGCCTGCCTTTCTTTCTACTTCTATAAACCGAACAGAGTTTATTCACGCGCCATTAGTAGTATACAGTATATAGCACTGCATGTTAAACCAGCAAGAAAATGTTTTTCCCTCGCAAAAAAAAGCAAGAAAGTGTTTTTATTTTATTTTCTGACAACACATGTAGAGTTCAATAAAAAAATACACACGTCCCTATGAAACCAACGGTTTTGCTATTGAACAAATGTCTAGAATTATTTATTGTAAGTCAATTATGTATGCGCCTGCCCTTTTTCGCATGGAAATATTGAAATTGTCTTTAAATCTTACTTGATTTTTCTATCTCACGTTCTACTTTGTAAGTCTTTTGATCAACACCCGGCCGTTCTTTATCATAACCTATAACTTCATATATACTAACTGGCAGACTAGAAGTGCAGTAACATTATCTTGAAAAAAAGCGCAGTAATATCATAGTAAATGTTTGTTTCGTTTTAATTTTTTGGTAAAGAAGCATGTTGTGTTGCCATCAAACTTGCAAAGTTAGTCCAACAAATGTGCAGTTTTAGAGGGTCGAGATTTACAAAGAAAAAAAAACATCGACATACAATTAGCAAAATGGCAAAAAAAAACTAAAACAAAGAAAATGCACTAATATTGTTGAGAAATACGGAAGAATGTACGACCAGAAGGGGGTGGGTGCGGGGGGTGGGGGGGGGGGCGTTAGCTAAAAGCAAAAGGAAAAATATACACATTTTGTATACAACATAAAGTAATATAAACAATCTTAGTAGTGCTCCCTCCGTTCATTCATGGACATAAAGATGTTTTAGTAACTTTTTTTAATTGGATGTGCATAGACACGTTTTAGCGTGTTTGTTCATTCATTTCCGCGAGTATGTAGTTCAGATTGAAATATTCAAAATATATTATATTTGTGAACGAAGGGGGTACAATATAAGAAGAAATGATTTTTTGAGATAAGATTGGCTATATGTATGAGGGAGGTATCGGCAGATCCTTTGCTTGCACATCCCGACCGCATATGCTAGCTCACGATCCGGGACCGACCGACCGGCGATGTTGCTTGTTGGAGAGGGTGAGATTAATTACGTAGTTTGCTTGCTTCACACACACACACACACACACACACACACACACACACACACACACACACACACGATTCCATCCACACAGCTCCGCCGAACAGGTCGTTTTCCTCATCCTCATATCACTTGAATAGCTGCACGTGGGCAAATGAGGCCGGTCTGCTGCTATCTGATCTGATCTGGCGATGCCAAAATGTCGCTGTAACAAATATAAGTACTTGTTATCTTCCCCACGCGCATGTGGCCTTGCCCACGGCCACGACGCCAGCGACAGCAATCGCAGTGACAATCACATAGATGATGATGAATGTGTCCACATACTATCCTATTATTGCATGTGTTGCAACGTGAGGCGCACAATTACTGCAAATGTTACATGTGGACGTGGTCCCAAATGAACAGATAATCTGATGTCGCGACGACTAGACCAGGGAGTGAAATAAAAAAAAATACAAGATGTTTTTAGACGCTTTTTTTAAATAATGCATTTTTTAATTAATTTGCATAAATATTACGCCGATATTTTTATTTTTGAAAATAATACATCGCCTAGTCGGCCCACCGCAGGCCGATTGGCTTGCTGCGAACCAATTAGTTCCAGTCGGCTTGCTGCGGGCCGACTAGGTGCATGTGGCCATTTTTCTTTTTCTGTTTTTGGTTTTAGTTGTTGTTTTCTATTTATTCTATCTATCAAATGAATCTGGTTTGTGTTGAAACTTTTTGCATAAATTACTAGCAATATTAACAAGCCACATCTAAATTTTCATAATTTTTCGAAAACAACATATTTACAATTGTATTAGATAGCTCCTGGTGAATATAGATAGGATTTAAATTTATCTATACAAATTGATTTTCTTTTATTTTTATAGATGTTAAAATATCTAGGAGAATAGTTTAAATTTTCTATGAAACAATTTGAGAATACTTTTTTGGCTTATGAAACAATTTGAAACAATTTTTGTGAAACAATTTGAGGAAAATTATTTTTTGGCTTATGAAACAATTTGAGAATACTTTTTTGGCTTATGTTCCTCAAATTGTTTCACAAAAATTGTTTCATAAGCCAAAAAAAATTCCTCGAATTGTTTCACAAAAAAAATTTAAACTATTCTCCTCAATATTTTAATATTTATAAAAAAATCCAATTTGGATAAATAAATTTAAACCCTATCTATATTCACCAGGAGCTATCAAATACAAATGTAAATATGTGGTTTTTCAAAAATTATGAAAATTTATATGTGACATGTTAATATTGCTAGTAATTTATGCAAAAAGTTTCAACACAAACCAGATTCATTTGATAGCTAGAATAAATAGAAAAAAACAACTAAAACCAAAAACAGAAAAGGAAAAATGGTCACAAGCACCTACTCGGCCCATCACGGGCTGATTGGCGTCCAGTCGGCCCGCAGCAAGCCGGCTGGGACTAATTGGCGTCCAGTAGGCCCAGTCAGCCTGCAGCAGGCCGATGGTGTATTATTTTTGAAAATAAATATATAGTCGTAATATTTATACAAATTAATTTAAAAAATGTATTATTTAAAAAAATTAGCTTTTTAGACAGTGTAGTAGCTAGCAGAGACTGACACTGACTGGTAGAACCGCCGGGCCCGGGCGGGCACAATTGTTATGACCGTTGAGCATCAACCAAGCGTGATTTCATGTGGCTGGGTAAATTTCAGGGGACTGCCACAACTCTCGCGGGCAACAGGGGATGTGCGTCGTCGGGGCCATCAACAACTACACGGACCAGCTCTACACCTACGGGGATTCTCCCAAGAGTTCATGTAAGTGCCATGAGCTTACTTCCTGTCAGAACACGCAATAATTCTGATTTCTTAACAACATTGGCTCGCATCGAAACGCAGACAACCTGACGGAGAGCCTGATGTTCCTGGCGCACTTCGTGGGCGACGTGCACCAGCCGCTGCACGTCGGCTACGAGGAGGACGAGGGCGGCAACACCATCATGGTGCGCTGGTACCGCAGGAAGGCCAACCTCCACCACGTACGTGTATCCCTGCCACACAGGAGTCGTGTTCATCAGAGCTGGTATGGTTTTTGGTCTGGACTGAACTTCTCGGAGTGTTTGGTGTGTGTTGGCAGGTGTGGGACGTTAGCATCATCGACACGGTGATGAAGGACTTCTACAACAAGAGCCTGGACACCATGGTGGGCGCCCTCCAGACGAACCTCACGGTGAGCACACCACTAGACTGCCAACAACTCAAAATACTGCCGGCCGCTCTCTTGTGTTTCTAATTGTTAGAAGGGAGAGATGGATTTGGTGGAATTATTGTTGATTGTATTGCTTGAGCCTCGTGGACATATATATAGCAGTATAAAGATTAATTTGAAGTACAAGACAAGGCAGGACCAAATCCTAGTCTATCATATACTTTTTAATAATCCTTATACTCAATATCACCCGCAGTCACAACGGTAGCGAGGCAGACGGTAAGACTGGAGAAGAATCTGAAGGTAAGCCAACAGACCCCCCACCCACCCCACCCCTAGTCGTAACGGCCGATGCATCGCGGAGCCGTGGCTGGAGTGAAAACTGACGAGGTTGCTCAAGCAGGCGGTAGCCCTTTGTACCGTTTGTCGATGTAGCCGAGAGCGTGGGTGGTGAAGCCGTGATTGAGGTAGCCGTGCGAAGAATACCGTGGTCGATGTCGAGTCGGGGTAGCTGGTGTCGAGGAAGTCACCGTGGAGTCACGGGCGCAAGGGGGCGCCGAGTTAGCATGGGCGCAGTGGTGTCAAAGTAGGGGTGCGCTAGAAAGAAAACATTGTTGACGATGCGTTGCGCCGGCACCAGGCTTGCCAGGCGCGAGGACACGTCGTGGACGAAGGCACGCGGTGGTGTTGCCAACACCGGACATGCGTAGACTGGGACTTGCACGAGCCATACGCCATGTCGAAGAAGTCGGAGAGGCCAGCAGAGAAGGACTCGACGACGGTTGCGGGCCAATCGGCGCGGGGCCAATGTCGCCCACGGTTGTCGGAGTAAATGAAGCGGTCGGGGTAGATGACAGCGACGCTGGCGACGGACTGGAGCTGGACGAAGACAAATGGGGTGGACGGGCGGCTGCGGCGGCTACGGGGGTAGCGGCGGCAGCGGCCGAAGAAGAGCGGCGGCAGTGGCGGCTAGGTTAGAAGCGTGGTGGCGATGCTCGAAGTAGGCGAAGAATCCTGACAGCGTGACGAAGACCGGCGCAGACAGTGGCGTTCTCGCGCCAAGGGAGACGACGCGGCGCATATCACGGGAAGTCGGCGCGCGGGGACGACGAAGTGGACCACGGGCCGCGGCGCTAGGGCCCGAAGGGGCGACGTAGCGGCGGCAGGCGGGTCGGGGCGACGGCGGGGACCGCAGGCCGCGACGCTGCGGCCCGAAGGGGCGACGCAACGGCGGTTCGTGAGTCGGTGCAGCCACGGGGACGGTCTTAGGACAGCGGCGTGGACCGCGTGCCACGCTCGCTATGACCGGATGGGGTGACGCAGCGACGGCGCGAGGGTCGGTGCAGCCACGGGACGGCCTGAAGCGTACAACCTCGGGGTGGCTGGGACCGCGGGCCGCAACACTATGGTCCGAAGGGGCGACGT